AAAAATGGAGATGGAATTTGAATTGGAAGAGGAAGTACTGTGTTGTTGGAGACAGTGTTTATATTGCCTATCAATATAAGCTGAGGGTGCCAGTTACAGAAGTCAAAGGTAACTGTTTTCTCAGTGTGTTATGTAGTTTGAAAACAGAAAACAAAATGAAGCAGCTTTGTCATGTATATCTTCTTTGAAAATTCTCAAATAGGATGTTGTCAAATGAACCATATGCTATGCATATAAATTAAGATTATTTTTCTGTTTCTAATATAAACAGACTGTACATGTGTAAATCCTAAATTTAACCATGTAATCAATTACTGTTTACTTCCTTAAGAAAAACAAGGCTGTCTTGTTACAGCCTTTCTTGAAATGTTTCACATGGTTGTTTTTTGATACAGCATAAGCAGCCCAGCTTTCATGCTGGTAGCCTACATGTTTCAGGCGATTCTTTCATTTAAAACTGCCCAGGAATTCCTCAGCAAAATTATTGGACTGGATTGTCATTCATAAGATGTATTTAACTACTTGCTTTTCTACTACTCCTTTCAAAAGGTCAAAAAGAAGATAAGAAGCATCTTCTGACAAGCTTTTATTGTCTGTTCTGTGAGCTGTGTGGCTATGTAAACCCTCTTGCATACCAAGAAAGTTTTGCAGAAATATCCCACTGCTACTTATTGTAATAGTGTTGGCAGTAACAGGCGCTGTATTGTAGGTAGTTCGCTCGCTGCTCCCAGTGTTGTGATCAACATGGGTGAAATCTGAGCCTAACAAAAGTCAATGAGAGTTTTGTCTTTGATTGCGCAGCAGCCAGGATTTCTCCCCAGCTGTTACAAACACAGTGAGCACGGTAATGAGGGGAGCACACCGATTGGTATAACTTGATTTAAAGAGGAAAAAACTCACACATACAGTGTGTCTTTATGTGGATTTCCTGCTCTTCTGAAAACTCTTCTTCCTTTACTGTAGCTGAGTATTCCTTGAGCTGGGAGTTTTTAGAATATAACAAAAGCTTTTAAAAAAGTGGACCTACTCCCCAGTCTCCATATAAGCAACTTAATATTGTGCTGAAAATATCTCATGTCTTAACAACTCTCATGAGATCACCTAAAACCTAGATTATTGTGTTTTACCCTGTGAGTGTAGAATGGATGGAGACATCCAGTCAAAACATGGCCAGTTACGGATTGTGCAGAGCACCCTGCCACATCCTAACTGCGTGTGCTTCAACACGCAGGGAAAAAGGACACTCATGGTGACGTGGGCAGTATGGTTTGAGTTTGGGTAATGCTGCTATGTTTTAAGGTACTTAGTAGGTCTAATGCTTGGATAAAATACTTTTCAGGGAAATGTTAAAGTTGGCATGGTGATTGCTAGCCTAAGACTCCAAAGTATAGATTTAAAAAGTGATTTAGGGAGGTTGAGTAAGGAACACTAATACCACCAAAACTTTCACTTTGCTCTGTTTTTAATGCGTTCTCTGAATGCTGTGGGTATGGTTGACAAGTCTGGAGGAAATCATGGCATGTGAACAACAAGCACTGCTGCTGCAGATGTCTTAGTGGCATGCTTGAAGCGTGATTCATTAATTCGGTATCTTGCTTGTAATCAGAATTTTTTTAAAGAGAAGGCCTGATTAGGGTGAATTAGTTTGAGCATTTGGTTTTGGGGAAAAAAAGGAACATTCTATATTGCATCAACCACTCTAAATTTATCACTGTGTGCTGCTGAAATGTGTATGACTAAGAATGGTAGTTTTCCGTGTGATTTTCTAAATCGTTTATTGTGTTCCCATTTGCTGAATCATCACATATAGAATAACCAGGTATTAAATTCTGTTTGTTTTTTTTTTTTCCTGTAAATCAGAAGTTATATCTTGAAACTTTTTCAAGGAAGAGTTGATCTTAAAGTTATTTTTGCTAATTAAAAAAAAAAAAAAAAAGCTAAGACATTTGCTGTTTAAGAAGATTGTAAAGTAAAGGAAATGAGTTTGCGGAAGTTGAAGATAGTACAGGGTTTGAGGAAGCTGGAGGCTTCACGTATGACTTTGAGCAGATCACTTAACCATATTGTCTCAATTTTCTTGCTCATAAAACGGGGTCAGTGAAGAGATACAGACAGTTGGAAGGTCCCACTTAGTTGCTTTATATAAAAGTGAATTTTTTGAAGGTAGAAATCATCCTTAGAGGGCAAAAGATTTGCAAAAGCAGGTGGCTCTCAATACATACTACATCTCTGTAGCTTTATGTCTCATAACAAGGATATATATGGGATAACACAATAAGAATTGGGTGTAATAAATATGTTTAGAAAATGGTTGAATTAAAAAAGACAATATTGCACTGAAATCTCCAAAATGTGATGCACCTGTACTTATCAGACTGTCACTTGACATCAGTTCCTTGGTTTCACTATTTAATAATTCTTAGTAATGCCCATTTTACATGTCAGTACTCTGTTTCTGTAAAAGAGCTTCTCAGGAAAAAAAAAAAAGGGGGGGGGGGAGGGTGTCAAAATGTAGCAAAATCTGAACAAGATGTAGCCATACTGCTCAGGCTTACTGCTTCTGTCATCAGTACTTCCAGCAGCTTGTGGAGTTTATTTTGCAGACAAGGTTTGGGATGACTTGAGCAAAATTAATTCCATTATTGATTAACTACAAAATGGTTTAAAAATATAATCTCAGGGGTAGCCCTGTTATCTGATATGCTCTTGATTCCAAGTTCATCCTTCAGCCCCTATAGACAATTGTGTTCTGTTAAATTAACCTGGTGTGTTGTTTTCCTACGGTTTGCGGGTCATTGACAGTGTTGGGTTTCACGCAGGCCAACTGTTCCCAAATCAAGTCCCTTCTGCACTCCAGCAAAGTTGGAGCCAGTGAAGGGGGGAGCACACGGGCAAAGGCTGGTGGAGGCAGGAAACGCAGTATGAAGACAGCCAAGTAATTTTACTTGCAGCTTCACAGTTAAAAGATTTTTCGCGAATTCCATGCTCGCTAGCAAAATGTTGAAAAATGCAGTGTTAAATTACAATTGTTCCTTGGGACTGTTTTTGTTGCTCCTTGGAACTGTTTTCCTAAACCCTGATTGCAAAAGCAAGCCTGAAACGAGGAGCAGAGTGTTTCAAAGCCCCCTGGCAACGAAGATGCAGTATCTGTCACATGCAGAGTTGAAAGGAAATGAGGATCTACAAAAGGAACCGAAATCGCCTTGGAGCCTTTCCCCACCGCCCCAACAGTTTCACAGTTATGTCTGGGGTTTTTTAATGTCATAATGTGGTGACTGAGTTTTTGGAGAAGCCTAACATGGGAGGTGGGGGTCTGAACCACCCAAGTACTGTCAGGGCTCATGGCAAAGTGTCCCTCCCCGGCGGCGGCAGTGCCAGGCTGTCAGCTGCGCTCCCGGCCCGGCTGCTGCACGTTCTCCCGCCTCGGTGGGCAGGAGCAGAGCCAGAGCTGAGCACGGCACATGCCCAGGACTAAAAGCATTACTGACATTGGGCCTCTCTTCTTTGCTTTGAGAATTTTTGTGCGGAGCTGTACGCTATCCAGAAAGTTAAAGCTACAGAGTGTCTCTATGATTTTTAAGGCAATACAAGTTTATTGGACATGAGTGATGGAGAATGGCTGTTCTGGGGCTTTTTACTGGAGTGTCTGGTGGAACCAGAAAGGCAGCTAGGAAATGTCACTAGCATGTTTGCTCCAGAAACCTGCCTCTCCAACAGAGGAAAATACCAGTTGCTTTAGTGGAAGACGCAGGAAACCGACTATCTGCCAATGATAAAGTGCTTGCAGGCACATTTTTCTAACTTTGGCGGTTTGTGGCAGGCTACTGTTCTGAAGTTGGAGCTTTTCCACCCTAACAGATTGTTGATATCGTGTTGCTTAAGATATATCTAATGTCTGATTATGCACGGGCCTTAGAATGCATGAGTTCTCGTGAGTTGCAGTGGGATTATCTGGCAATATCAGACCTTTTATTTTTCAAGTTTACTATGTGAAACAATACCTGTATTTGAGTAAAACATCCTAACTGCCAGTAAATAATACAGCAAAAAGGCATCTCTCCTCCTGTTTGTAGTTTGCTGTGTTATTCATTTTATAAGGTGGTTTGTAAGGGGAGTAACCTGTTCTGGCGGTAAGCTGGGGGCCATGTTAATGTTCCTATTTAGAGCTGGGTCACTGACTTATGCAGTGATCTTGAACGAATTGCTTATCCTGAGGAAAAGTGAGCTGTATGGAGGATAGGGGGGTAATATCTAAAGCATATTAGATTCTCTGATGAATAGCATTGTGTAAGGGCTAAGACTGGTTATTTAAACCAACTGCAATTAAGAGTCTTGCTCCAAAAGACATGTCGGGAGAAGTTCCTTATCATTTAGTATGTAGCTGACATCTCATTTAAAATGTATGTAGCACCTTGGCGTGTGGACACACACATGCACACCCCCAGTGTTGGAGAGGAGGGTTCCTGGAGGGACCCAAAGAATTGAAGACCTCTCAAGAGAACTGAACAGCTGCCCTCGCGCACGCAGCCAGTAACTAGGAAGAAGAGGGTTTTATGTTGAGTCTGAATGAAAATCAGGACAAACATCAGTTGTTAGAATGTGCCAATCAAGGGCATCTTGGTAAATTCCATGTAAAGAGAAATTTTAATTTAGAGCTAGTGTTCAGCCAGTAACCAAAGAAATAGTCTACGGATAAAAGTGCTTCAGATTTCATGGTATGGGAAACCGGTAATTATGAGATACAGTGAACAATACAAGGTAGAATTGCTAAAGGGATTAATTAGCCTTAGTCTAACTAACCACTATGATTGATGCAAATATACATCTGCAGCCTGCTGAGACATTAGATAGTCATCATACACCTGCTCAGTTTAGCAGTGTTGTAGAACACAGCTGTCAGAATGATTTCTGTTTTTTTTTTTTCTGGAAATCCTTGAGTATAATTGACTGCTTATTCTTTTGTTGTTCAAAATGTTTTATTTTTTTCTTTTTCTAAACAGCACTTCCATGATGGCAGAAAGGCACAACAACATATTGAAACTTGCTGGAAACAACTTGAAGCAGTAAGTGGAAACTGCCTCAGATGTCACATTTAAGTCATTTTTATAGTGTTCTCATAGAGATGGTTCCAAACATTATATTTGGAGAAAGGAGGGTGTATGGATAACAGCTGTAGAAATGAGATTTTTTAAATTCTGCTGTTTTAGATACACTGATAGACATGAAAAAGTCTGTGTTAATAGTACATTTGGCTTTCTGTGGGATCTGTGTCTATCATGAGTAGCATTTCATTTGATATGACTTGAAAAGTGTGCTAAGCATTGCTGGAAATAGAGAGTCCCTAAGGGTCCTATTCAGATATTCCACTCAGCTGAAGAGCTTCATACTGCATGAATAAATTGAATGGGACCATCTCTTGAGTAAGGTGCTGTTTCTCAAACGTAAATACATTGGAATTGTCATTCATGTGATGAGTGAAAAGTGAGACTGTAAGTAGGAGAGAGGATAAAGAGAACATCAGTAACTAAAAGTCCTACTTGAAAACTCCCTTGTGCATTATAAAACTGAGGGAGTTAAGTGTTAGGAGTAATTTGGTCTACAAGAGCAGAAGAGATGCTAACAGAGGAAAACATTGAAATACTAGTTATGTTAGTAGAGGCAAGCAGCCTGAACAGCGGAACAAAAAAAAAAATGTGTTTCTGGCAGCTTTTTTTTTAGAGTTCTTTAATATGGAAATATATTCCAGTGTAAACAAGTAAGTCCTAAAATCTCAGTTGTTAAAGCAGATCAGTCTAGGAGCAGGTATTGGTTTTAGGTAGATTTTGATACCATGCTGCTTTGCCGTAATGAAGGTTTCTGTTTTTCCTTTTCAGAGTAAAAGGCGGTTTGAACGTGATTGCAAAGAAGCTGATCGAGCACAGCAGTATTTTGAGAAAATGGATGCTGACATCAATGTTACAAAAGCAGATGTTGAAAAGGTAAGCCAGGGGTTGGACAGATGTATGTGATAGGTTTAGTTTCTCAATCCCACTGGTAGAATAAACCCTCTGAGGCTTAATGCCTCACTTAAGTCAGTCTGTAGGCTAATTAAAATAGAGATCTCTGCAGAGACTCGTATTTGCATAAAAATTCTAAACAGATACAGTCAGTTTTCTTCAGTAAGATGATATCCAAGTTTAACATAGCTGACATGACTCTAAATGAGTTTATGCAAAATCAGTTTTAACTAACACCCCACATTTTGTGACAGTCAAGCATGTGAGCGGCTCCCTGCTTGCAGTTACCACACGTTGTTGGTTCCTCTGTGGTCCAGGTAGAACTAAACTTCATGCCTTCTGAGCAGCACTTCTAAGATGTCCTGATGTCGTTGGTTGCGATGAAGTATTACCAGGATCGTTGTTCATGGTCCTAGGTTTACAGCAGGACAACTTTTTATGTTATGCAGAATCCTGGAATCATGCTTGTCACAGATGGCACATAGCTTTTATTTTTATTTCTCAGTTGCTGTCTGGTTGCAGAGTCATTTGTGGGTTTTATACGTTGATCCCCATTCAGTGAATCCTTTGAACTGATGCTTAATTTTAAACATACATTTCTGTTTCAGCATATGTCTTGAAATACTTTCTCTCTTCAGTTTGATTCAAAATTGGATGTGCAGAAAGATGCTTAAAGCTTAAATGTCCAAGTCCAGTGGTGTACCTGTAACTTAAGGAAGCAATAGAGAGGGAAAAAGCATGTTTAAATTGCTTCTCTTTTTGATGTCACGTCTGCTCAGAAGATGCAGGAATGTAGATTAGAAACACCATGGTCCAATCTTTAAGGGCAGTTTTGTCTTCCCTGAGTTTGATTCTTATAGGTAGAAAAAATAGTCTGAACATTTGAATAAGTCCGTTTCTCTAAAAAAAAAAAAAAAAAGGGGGGGGGGAAGCGACCAGAAAAAGCTGAAGCTTAAAATGTACCAAACGTTTTGTTGCAGGGACAGGAAAGGAAACTGAATTATAAGTAAGGAAACTTTTCTAGTCCAAGATAACCTTTGCAAAATGTAGCTTTTGCTCCTCAAGAAGTCTACTTCATTCCATTCTCAATTAATCCAATCTTGGGAAGCTATCAAATACAAATTTTTCTTTACATGTGTGGGATCTTAAGATGTTTCTAGTATGCTGAACATCATGGAGGTTGCGTAGCAGATGACATCAAGGTTGCTATTGGAAATGAAGACACTAAATGAAAAAGAAGCTCAGAAAGCTTCCCCAAAGTGCTATTGCATATCAAAGGAGAAAATACCTCTATGGTCTTGTAATTTACTTGGCTCTTAGTTGTAAATTCACCATGCAGATTTGATCCTTTGTTGCCTTCTGGATTTGCCAGGGCACTTTACAGATGAGTGCATGTACAGGATTGTGAAAGATGTAACACCACATGTGGGTTTTTCTGACAGAGGAGGATCATCTCTGCTTTAACGGTATAAAGTGATTTTAGAATACATTTTTTTTGCAGATAAAATTAGGACTTGCCCTAGATTTTTTTCAAAGCTGAGGCCATGTCAAAGGGATACAAAGACATGACGTACTGTTTGAAATAGAGGGCTGAAACTCCTTACTTCTACATCCCTTTCTAAGGCTGACCTTTTCTGGTTAGAGTGAAAGGCTACATGCTGGTGGTATATCAGTCTGATAGCATTAGTTAAATTCTGGGAAGTAATTTCTTCCCTGGTGCTCCTTCCCTGTACAGTGAAGCAGAGGGGCTTCCCTTCTAAATTTCTTTATCTTTTCATTGTATATATTTGTAAATTATTTATTGCAAAATGAGTCTCAGCAGTATCTTGGGGAAAAAAAAATAAAATCTGTTGCAGTTGTGTTTTGGCTAATCTCAGGAGAAGGCATTAGTCGACTTTCCAGTCAGTCAGAGGGGTAGATGGAGAAGGAAAAGGTTATCAAAACGAGTGGAATGTGAAATAATATTACTGAACAGAGAGAACAGTGTTTTCCGAGTGCATGTGTTAAACTGGGTTCATCCATGTCAGGCTGTGAATAATGCCCTTTCTTTGCTTCCCTCTGCCCGTGTGACTGGGACCGCTCTTACATAACTCCCAAGCGCAAAATGGGATATTGTTTAACCAAGTGCTGCTGTTGGGGGCAGCTCTCGCAGACTCACTCCAGAGAGATGCAGAAACTGCTCAGGCTCAAATGAAGCAATATGATGACTTTTACCTCCTCCTATTACAGCAGTTCTGATTTCTTTTGCCCCTTATGGATTGGCCGCTGCATTCCTGCTCCCAAAAATCTGTCTGGCCAGGAAAGAAGACAATTTGGCTGAGTTCAAAGCCAATGCTACTCACTTCAGAGGAACAAGGTGCACTTCAAGCAATGGGATCAGTTGCCCTAATTTCTTTGGCTTGAGGTTGACACCTTGGCTACTTTAGCTTGTACCTGCAAATATGAGCAGATACTGGAGCTATTTTTTGCATCATGCATTATAGAGTAATGGGATTAAAATTCTGCAGTGATCACAATGACACATGCAATTGAAAGAATATATAGCTGCAGTTCCTTAATGCACCTAGTGCTAAGCTGTATGAGGCTCTGAAATGCTCACATCTCTCAATCTTTTAGTTGTCATAGCCTTTGACAACTGCAGCAGGAAATTCTGTGACTGAGCTGCCAGCTACCAGCGCTTAACATGGCCTTGCCAGAGGGATAACTCTTGGTGTTCAGTTTGCTAGGATTAAGTAACCAGAATAGTGGCAGGGAGGCAAGTTAAGAGTTCCTTTCCTCCTTAGTTCTCCAGGACTGTTTTGTGAAGGGGATCAGGTGTGTGCTGAGAGGCAGGGCTCGATGTGCAGGGAGGGTATCTTGCACCTGGGTCCAAACTCCTCCTGTAGGACCAGCTCAGGTTCCATGTGCAGAGGCCTTTTGTGCCACTTCTGTGGCCAGTATGGGCTTGATCATCTTTGCAGCCGGCCAGTCTGGCAGCTGATCTCAGGGAGAGCAGGGTGTTTAGCTTTGTTTCCTCCCATTGCCTTTTTTGGGGGTAGGAACGTGGAGCAAAGGCTGTGTTCAGTCTGTGCAACGGTCACTGTCTTTATGCAGGAATCAAAGGAGGGTGGATTAGAGCCCCTGAGCTCCCTTCCTGTGTTTGCAGTGAACCTCTAAATTACCAGGGGAGATGTTTAAGTGTCAACACAAAGTACAGTTTGGCACAAAGGTTTTGTCAGTTCAGTTTAGCAAAGTCAGGGTAGGAGACATACTGTGTTGCGGAAAACTGTACTGTGAAAATATCTTTATAAACTAAGTAAATGCTGCAACATGCTGTTATTCATACTGGGAAGCCTTGTAGGTACGGCTGTAATCTTTAGTTTTGTTTTGATCGCAGTGGGATGTGTGCTTAAAAACAGTTCTCCTTCAAAAACCACAGTGGAGCTGCTTCAATTTTTTGACCATTTGGGGAAATGGTCTCTGTCACCGGCGCAGAGCCGGTGTACATATAAGGAAGCGCTCTATTGTTTGTTCCTTCTCTTTAGAGCTGCAATCACTAAAAAGCTGACATCTTTATGGGATGATGTGTTAGTACCCAGTGATGCATTCGCAGACTTCTTGCAATTAAAAAAAAAAAAAAAAAAAAAAAGCTAGCTTTTCTAAAGGTTTCTTTTCAAAGTAGACTTTTCAGAATCTGTTTTTGAAGAGGAAGTGGCTGCAGTCAACCATGGGAAGGGGTAAATGCTTCACCTCTTGATTTGCACAGCAGTTGAGGGGGAGGACAGCAGTTTGAGGTACTTCATGTCAGGAAGGATCTGTCCCTTTGCTGAAGAGCAGCACAGTCGTATGTTGGTGTCCTACTTGTTTTTTGCCGGAAAACAACTTCAGCTTTGAGCAGTAAAAAATGAGCTGTATGTGAGTTCCCAGAACTGCTGTCCTGATGTCAGGGCTCATCACCTTGTTCTGGTTTCTGTTCCTGTTACGTTATGTTCTACCTGCAGTGGTTTTGAGATTAATCTAAAGGTGTTCTGGATTTAGAAAGCAGTTTAGTAGCAGTAGATTTAGAAAGACATAAAGTGCGAATTTGACCTTAACTCTCATAAGTAAGGAAGCTTCTGACACTGCTAAAACCATGGAGTGGTATTTTGTTTTACTGTACGTTTTTCACTGACTCATCTTTAATAAGTCTTCAACCCACACCCAGGAAGGGCGAGCTTGTATTGAGGTTTTATTTGTATCCTGGGACATTCAGCCATCTTTTCTGGGGCAGTGGGGTTTTCCTTCTGAATTTGCTTTCTTATGTGCTTGCAGCTGCTCGACCTTGTTCCAAGTCATCTGTCAGTTTGAAATCAAAATCACTCCAAAAAATCCAACTGTATATCCAAAATGATTATTGCAGAATTATCATTCCATTCCTTCATCTCTTCTCTGCTGAATCCTATGTCGTATCTAAAAACAAAACAAACAAAGAAGTTGATGGCTCTATTCCTGTGCTGACTCTGGCACACTTAGGAGCTTTAGATGTACTGGCCCATGGTTGGTTGGTTCTGTTTCGTTTCTGAAGTGGAGAAACCGAGGGACATAGAAGTAATCTCAAATTTATTGAAATCTATAGGAGCTTTCACCTGTGCTCAGTGACTTTCAGATCAGGTTATGGCTGCTGTATTCAGGATTTTTGGAGTCCCAGAATAATTTAAGATTTGCATAAGGGCATAAAACCTCATAATACAGCATCACCATGACATTAATTTTCTAGTCTATAAATATAACTACAGAGAGATACCAATGTTTCACGCTTGAAGTTTCATTTTCTCTTCTCTTTTCTTATGCCATGTTCCCTGGGTGCTTGCCAACAATTTCGATGCAGAGTCTGTATCTCCCTCCTTACCTATAGAAGACATGTCCACTTACATTGCCTTGAGTAGTCATGAGCTGAATCGCTGGCAAAGTTTTACTGAACATAGATGTAAAAATCCTGCTACTTAGAAATTGGAATAAGCTGA